GAACGCACGTACGAAAACGCACGTACACACGAACGCACGTACGAAAACGCACGTAGACACGAACGCACGTACGAAAACGCACGTACGAAAACGCACGTACACACGAACGCACGTACGAAAACGCACGTAGACACGAACGCACGTACGAAAACGCACGTACGAAAACGCACGTACACACGAACGCACGTACGAAAACGCACGTAGACACGAACGCACGTACGAAAACGCACGTACGAAAACGCACGTACACACGAACGCACGTACGAAAACGCACGTAGACACGAACGCACGTACGAAAACGCACGTACGAAAACGCACGTACACACGAAGGCACGTATACGCAAACGCACGTACTCACACACACACACACACACACACACACACACACACACACACACACACACACACACACACACACACACACACACACACACACACAAGGGTTTTCCTGTTAAATTTAAAGACGTATTCCCCAAGCTGTGAAATGAGTGTTGGGATTGTGAAAAGTAAAAAAAGCTAGAAATTAATGCATATCGAATTAGCAATCAAGGCATGTCGGAGTATTTCTGTGATATCACAAATTAACTTCAGCGTTAAAGGTGTTAACGGCCTGGGGAGAACCCTGATGTATTATAGGGAATTATGTTGACTATTATTTTATCACAACATTAAGATTATAATAAGGTATTTGTTATTTTCTTTATTCCAGGGCTCTTCTTCGATCGTTGGTGAAGAATTTCTCAATTGCCTTTATGTTTCCAATTACATTAACAATGTGCCTGTTTCAACATAATAGAGCTGTTTACGATCTTATTGCAAATTCAGTTGTTGTAGAAGACCTTGTGAATTAGACTTAGAGCGGCATTTTTGTATGCCTACTTTTATAAGGCCAGCAATGGTTTCTTCTTTATAACAACAAATATTGGATGATTCGTTGATACTGCATAGTGTACAGTGTATATATTCATAGTAAATGCATATGTTTAACAGTCCTTCCAGACAATTAATCTTTCAGAAAGAATTTTCAAAGATATTATTCTTTAAAGAACAAATTATTTTAGCCTTTTGTAATTATGTATGTAGGTGTGTGCATGCATTTGTGCGTGTGTGTACGAAAAAACATGTATTTGTTATTTTAAAGGAAATCGTTCGTAATCTTTTCAAGGTTTAATTAATTGCAATCATCTTGTGCAAGCGACTGCAGCTTCGTAACCCTGTCACAGTAATATTCAAGATTCATCTCAGATTCTGCTTACCAGTTTAAACGTTTTCTTTATTGTCCACAAGTGGACTTGCAACTAATCTAATATTGAAGTTGCATAATAGGCATGCCTACATGGCTTACAACTTCAGCTGCAAATGTACATAAATCAGGTGAGAATATAAACTCTAACAAAGTAAAACATTGTATGCTACTCGTGTGTAGCATCCTATGTTTAATGAGCAAAGAATTAATTAAATGCCAGTCATGTCTAGTATTTCTGTAGCAAAATCGAAAATATTTGTAATTAATCATGTCAATGGATGTGTGCACTAATATGATTTACCAGTGTGCTCTATTAGGTATTGTTCATGTTTGTGCTGTAGAAGCAGAGTTACATGTATATTATCAGAAGTGTCATAATACAGAGTCTATATAATATAAAGTATATATGACACTCTTGATATTATGTTAGAAATGAGGCAGAGATTATGTTGTAATAATGTTCAAGATTGATATGCTTTCCACTTTTCCAGTTATATGTCATTACATTAACAGAATAGTTTATGCGCTCTTGATTACACATAACGTATTGTTGCGAAATTATTCTATTGTATGGTAGAAAGGGTGATGGCTTCCCATTTGTATTGCGCCAGTATCATGCCTAGAAAGTGAATATACATATTATTTTAGGTTTATTTAATTCTTTTCTCTCTAATGTCGGTCATTGCCAATGTTGAATAATTATTTTCAGTCTAGAGCTTACATAGCAAACTATTACTTGCTCATTAAAAATGATTGAAAAATTTTCCTGGATCTGAAGCTGTTAATAAAAGTGATATATTAATGTTGTTATATTTGTTTTCGACTAGTTTTGAACATTGTCACCGGACGTTGAATGCATTTATCGTAGGAACTTGCGCTACATGATCCCCGTCACTCACGTCATCGGCGCCATCTACAACCAAACACCTTAGTGTCGTCATCGATTGGTGATTCTGTGCGTCTCGGTCATATAACGCGCAATATTGGCAGAACATAACTGGAAGGCACTCGGGAAGTGCGAATCCTTCGCATACGCGATCACTACACCTGTGATATTTTTGTAGGCTGAGGTTGGTACTTCTAATGGATGACGTTGACCTTGGTAAAATATCACTCAAAATGAATACTTGTCAAGGCGCGTCGGCATGAGACGTAATCATCCCACAGTTGACACATTGTGCGGATGCTATTCTACAGCACAGAGAAATAAATGGATATCCAGCGGACAAAGTTTAGTTCTATACAGATCCGTGTCCCTGTGACCTTGACGTCACTCAGAATCAGTTCTACCGCCCCATAAGATGCACCTGTAGACCAAGTTTGAAGTTTCTACTTCTTACGGTTGCAAACATAACCTAACGTTGGAAGCGTTATTAAATTAAAGATTTCAAACGTTTACTGTTTTTCATTCTCTCCAACAATGCGTTTCCATGTAATCAATGTACGTTCTCTTGTCTTGGTTACGTACTAGTACGGACTAGTTTTTATGCTAAATTGTTTTTAAATAAAACAAAAACGGGAACATTGAAAAAGATACAGAAACACCCAAATAAGACGCGAAGACTAGAGTTAATGTATCTATATACAAATGGTTTAATTTAATACAAAATCCAAAAATTGGTAATATATGTCATTACAAACAATTTTCGCATCAAACCTCTATGTACAAACACTGTCTATATTAAACAAATTGTACAAAATCCTGTAATCAATGATTTTAAATTTAGTCCACGTGTATCAGTATTTCGATCACATAACTAGTAACTACCACCAAAACGAAAACGAACTGGCAACGCCAGATGCGCTACAAAGTTACACGCGTAAAGATCATCAATACGAGGAGACACGTGGGTGCGAATGAGCCAACCGCCAACAGCCCTCCCAAATGACTACGGACCCCAGTTCTCCGTGGGCACAGTTCACTTGCACTGTATGTATGCATCATGTAGACGTTGGTCGTTTATAAGTAGTTTACAAAAAATACGCACCCTGTTCAACAATAAATATTCTATTCGTGTCAGTTATTAGGCTGAAGATTCTATATATACAAAACTATTATATTCATTACAAATGTTCTGTTCACATCACAACTCACCAATAATCTGACTTGTAGACTCTCTTATATGTACTTATAAAATTGCTATGGCTTTAATTAATGGAGAACGAACGCCGTTGGGCATTGTGATCGAAAAATATCGCGACAGTGCGTTAAATGCGGATCATTGGGATTGGAAGCATCTGATGTGGAACTCTGGGTAACACAGGACATCCCGACGGCACCGCATCCAGTGTTGACCTTTAGGTCACACCGAACGAAAGGCGCAACGTCACACACAACTGTTATGGAACACTATGGCTAAGTGGGAAGCCACACAACACACAACTACCACACTAACGGGCTGCACAACAGCCGAGCAAGGGTGGGTGCGCGTACGTTGGCGAGTAGGTGGGGGCTATATTCTATAGAGGGCGGTGGGTGCGCTAACCATTCTAACAACATATGGCTATGCCTACGATTGGAGGTGGGGTGCTTCTATATGCAAGACTAGCTGTGTTAGCTAGCTGTGGCTATCGCTCAGCAGGGACGTGACGAGCATACGCACAGGTCTTCGCTGACTCCCGTCACATTATATTGTCCGATTCCGAACCCTGGCGCAAACCGCGGGAATCAACGAAGGGCGGACCCTGTTGCCATAGCCGACGGTTGAGAAAGGCACGGTTTACACGTGGGTGGGGTAGAGAAGTGAACACACACGGGGGAAGTGCATAGTAAGACGAATGGCCTCGGCAACGTGCCTCACACTGGACAGAAAGACAACGTGTGAGAGTACTAACGTTTTGTACAATAATTATTGCTAGTTACACACACCTGGTCAGCCATGACTGTGCTCACCACTGATGACGATCTACTGTAACAACCTGCAGTACTGTTAGTACAATGCAAAAATCTTGCGACGGACGCTTCTACACCTACTGTCTAATAACAGGACCAAATTTCAACGCGTACAGAGGGCGGGCCTCACGCTGGAATGGTCATCAATTATTGTTATGCAAACGCGAATGAGAAACGAGAATTAGTGCTACACTACAGAACAATTGTTATTCACAGCTTTACAATCTTAGGGAGAGGTAGTTCACTGATTCTGGAATTGCTAGTCGATCTATGAACGAATAATAGCATGCTACAATTATCTCCGATACTGCAACATTGATTCTACATCACACAATTATATGGCAATGTAATTTATAACAAGAAGTTTTGACATCGGAAAGTTGTTGGCAGGATTTGTTGATACAAGCTCGAAACTAAAATCGCATACACTGAAAGCTAGCCAACACGTAAAATAGTCTTTACAGAATAGTGTATGTCTATGCACATTGTCTCCATTTTCCCAACCAAAATTGTCTATAAAACCACGTGTGCCAAAGCCTGAATTCACTTGCCAAGCACTGAATTCATGCACCACTTAAAACTGTGAGTATACAGTCGCATTTCATTGTTACAGCATTAGAAAACAATTCTTCAGACATTACCCCGCAGACATACCATCGAGATTCAAAGCCATGTGCGCAAAACCATTTTCCCCACCACCTCGTAAGCTGACTTCATGCATAGCATTCACAAGCAACACAGCTAAGCCGCCCTCGTAATGACAGGTGGCTCCACCTGGAAGCGATCAGTCGGACTGGTAATCCTCGGCACAGGTATCGCTCATGTAGAACTCGTTATCGGACAGGTTGTCAGGTGAGCCCACGGCACTGTTGTCCGATAGCGGCTCCGCTACGTTCGCGCCATTGCAGCCGCTGGGTGCTTTCTCACTGCGTGCATCGGAACTGCCCTCTGTTGGCACCGGTAGATCTGTACCGGTTTCGAGAAACTCAAAAGTGTTAAGTGCGGCTTTCTCCTTGTCACCAAATCGGAAAAAGAAGTCCTTGAGGCCGAAACGGAGCAGAGATCGACGTGGCCTGGAAGGGGTCTTCACTTTCTCCTTGCCTGTAGAGAAGGCAAACGATAAACATAAGTCACCACCACACAGAACAAAAGAGACATGTCGCTTGTTCTACCATAATTCCGTTTTTTGCTATGACAGGCCAATGTGACTGCGCACACAGTTTGCACACGGTATGTGCAGAATAATTACCAGAGTTATTGGCTAGTTTCTTTTCAACCAAAGTCCTTGTTGGACACAATTACCATAACACTAAACCTGGTCACTGCTAAAGCATGTTATGTCCCCACAGTATATACTTTTATATAATGTAGTAATTGTCACGCTGTACCGATCAACATTACATAAATGCCTGAATCATTAACCTGTGATAGGATCTGATTTACCTTGGCAATCAGTTGGCACTCTGTTAATGACAGCTCCCTCTGTGCAAGTATCGCCGTCTTCATCACTGCCAATCATTGCCAGGGATGCCACGTGCTCAGTAGCACCCTGTACAAATGCAAAACAGAATGATAGGCTATGATACAATGCGGTCAATGTCCGGAGGAAACCTCCTTCATAAATAACCCAAAGCATTTATATGATCATTACATAAATATGTAAATCAAATATTTGTTAATGCCACATTAACCCACGGATAACGCTACTCCAGCTTTCACATTTTTTTACAAATAGATTAGGCATTATTTTTGCTAAATTACTTATTTATCATTTAATAATAATAGTGAAGAATAAACCCCTGGATTATAACACTGCCCATACGTTATGGCTAACACCATTGCTTGTTCTGCATTTCGTGGTGATGATGGAAGTTGCACTGTTTTGGTTTATTTGCACATGGGTCACATACGCTTGTAATTAATGTGACATTATACTGAAAACTTACTTATCTACTCAAACCAAAGTATAAAAATTTATATATCGCATTAGTTAGTTGCATTAATAATGCACAATTTAACAGCTTAAAATAATGAAGGCTGGAACATTGAAATCGGGCTACGTACAACACGTAAAAATAAATTATAATAGCATAACTTATGTCATCACCAAAAGGAGCAGCACGCCACATGGCATCAACCATAACACTGATATTATGGTTGCACAGTATATAAATTGAGGATATTATTTATTGACTTAAGTGGTCATTTGGCACTAGCTGATGTCACTGTGCCTGACAGTATTAGAACTAGCAAGTTAAGTTTTGTTTAGTATAAAAAACAAGAAATAAAGGTTTAGCGCACCTCTTGAAGATCTAGAGGCCATTGCACAGCTACTCTTCGCAGCAGTAAAAAGTATATTTTATGCTCCTTTTATTAAAGTAATGACAACAGTGAAAGTATTCTCTCTACATCTGTCAACACAATCCTCAAAATACCACTTGTCCACTGAACATTAACCACTGACCTCCAGCTTCGAACTTTAAACATATTTTCCTAATACAGTTATATATCAAGAAGAAATTATTTAATAAATGATTACGCTAATAATGACACATACATGCAAGACAGACGTGCCCATGATGACATTTTTGCTACACACAACTCTATCGCTATCTTTCTAGTCACACGTTACGGTGTGGGCACAAACCTGCTTGCCAGTGTCCCGACCACGCACGCTTCCATTGCTAGTCTTTCCGGCCTGCTTACCCACCACGGCGCGTGGGATTCGGGGCGACTTTGGGCTCATCAGCTCCTTTTTACCAGGGATCTTCGACATGTGTCCGTTAACCTTCGACGAAGCCGGCGCCGCCTTCTCCGCCTGCGCTTTTGCCGCCGCCGCCGTGATCTTATCGCTGCGTTGCACCTTCGGGGAGCGGAAGCCGAACGTGGACAGCTTCGACGTAGAGGGCGCCTTCTCCTGCGGCCGCTTGTCCTGCTTCGCGGCGGGGACGTCGTTACGCATGAAGCTCGTCACCTTAATGACGGACTTCTGCACCGGGCCGGGAGTCTTCGCACCCGGCGGCGTCGGAGTCGGCGTCGGCGGCGATCGAGCATCTCCCGGATGCTGCTCCTCCTCGCACCTCTCCTGCTCGCCGCTGCCCTTCAGTCCCGGCAGCTTGCTCTTCGCGAGCCCGTTCTCCCGCTTACGCGCCAACGGCGACTGCAGCAGCTTGCTCGCTGCCGGCTTCGGAATCTCCGGCCGCTTGGCGGCGGCGGCGTCGGGCTTGCTCGCCGGCGACCGCTCCCGACGCGCGCGCTCCCCCGGGCGAGGGCCGGCGACGGCCGGCTGCGCCGGCTTTGCAACTAGTTTCGGCTTCGGACTGGCCTCCCTCCTGGCGGCGAGGGGCGGTGGCACGGGGCTGTGCGGCGGCGGCGGCGACTGCTCAGAGCTGCGGGACGACGACGACGACGACCGCAGCTCGTCGGAGCTCGTCTCGCGCCGCCGCTGCGGCGTCCGCTCCGGCGACGCGCGCGCCTCCGACGACTCGGGCGACCTCTGACCCGGCGGGCGGCGCAGCGCCTGCAGCGCCTGCAGCGGCGACTTGCCGTGCGCCGTCGTCGCGCGCGCCTCGTTCATCTTCGGCAGGAGCGAGCGCTTCTCCACCATGTCCATGTGCTCGAGCTCGGCGGCGCGAGCCAGCCGTTCGGGTCGCGGACTCGCCGGCGCCGCGTCCCGCGAGCGGGGACTCACGGGCGGTGGGTCGCCGTACGGCCGCCGGCCGGGGCTGCCCGGCGGCGACGCGGCCCGCGGCGGCGGACTCTGGCCGCGCCGGGCGACCTTCTGCGGCAGCTGGCGGCGCGGCGGCCGCCGTGCTGTCCTGTGCGCACGCAGGCAGCCTGCTGCGACTCGCGCCGCGACCCGCTCCCGGGCCGCAGCTCGCGCCAGGACTCTGCGTGATGCGGCGCCACCGTGGCGCGCCGAGACGAGCGCGGGTGCGCGCAGCGAGTCGGATCTCTGCGCGGCGCACTCGACAGCGTGGCACTTTGTGGAGAGGCCGGGGCGGCGGCGCGGTCCGGATGCTGCGCTGAGCAGGCGTCGCGTGGAAGGATGGCAGGCACTTGCCGACGGCCCGCGTCTGGCTCGCCCTGCCAGCAGCTGAGACGCAGCTTGCCGCTCCTAGCTGACGGCGAGAGCGCCTTGAGCGCGCGGCTGCTCGCTGGCTTCTGCGTCTCGGCC